CTTTAAAGGGTACATATGGGCTATATGCACGCATAAGTTCCGCATTTGACGTAAGGATGCTCGTCCATTTCCGGTTGTGTAGATTAAAGCAGAGGAAAACCGGAGAAAACGGGATTATGGCAGAGTCTTCAATATTTACTGTCCTCCCGTCTTTGAAATGAAACGTACATACGTTTAGACGTAATTTTTTATATAGTTATGTTTATTTAATATAATTTTAAAAAGAAGCATAAATACAACGAGGGGTGTCTGTTTTATCTGTTTTTGTGACTAACGTTTCATTAGTATAACCATGGAGTATAAAATTCAATATAAATTCTCGGTATTGCATTGGACTCTATGATCGGCGGAAGTTATCGAGCATCCCTAATGCTTCACCGGAAATAACGCCGTGCATAGAGCCCATTAGGGGTGTGCAAAGCAGCCGGTATTTGTATCTGTATTTGTATTTGTTCAGGGAGGAAAAGTATTTGTATTTGTATTCGAGTAAAATTCAAAATAGGCATAAAAATCTTTAAAAATACTTTATAGTGTGGATTCTTTAATTATATCCATTATAATAATTATGTATATGCAATATTGGTTGATGTTTTTCTATAAATCCAGCAATGAACATGTAACAAGAAAAGTCATTGAAAAGAAAATAGCAGTCATCCATTACCTCATGAACCATGGTTAAACCAACAACAACTAATAAAATACAATTGTGAACATTATGAACCCCAACACCACGGTGGAGGACGCTGAGTAGACAGAATAAGTTTAGGGATAATTTATAGTGAGGAGGTTGATTATGAGCCCGACGCGAAGCCTGAAGGGTTTGTATTCGCTGCCTCGCTCTACATTACCCCGCTTATTATATGGCTACCTAACAAATAAATCAATAATTTGACTCAAAATATGGATATAAAAAGGAGTTTGTGGATTTAAAAAACGATTGTATCGCCTCCGCTAAAGAAGAAAAATAGTCCGTTCTGTCTCTACGTTTAGAATCCATGGCAACGCTCTGTTTTTCATGGCAACGGTGTGTTATACTTATAAGCAGCGGCCTGTTATAATAACAGACCGCATTCTACATTAGAATTCAACCAAGCCATATAAGAAACAAATAATTACCGTTACCGAGCTAACAGAGCTACGTAAACGGAGCGAGCACCCGTCTACAGACGTCAATAATGGAATATACTCCCGATCAAACTCCGCTTCCCGAAAGTTATAAACTGCCTCCGGAACCTAGTTAAGGTACAAACAACTATTCAACAAAAATAGTGATGCAGTTAAGTGCTTTTTTCGCTCAGCCGAGCCCTCTCTGTTGCTGTGTGGAGCAGCCTGTGTCAGTCACCTCTTCCTGAACGTCACTCACTCAACTCGCGCACTGCGGAGGAACGCAGCTTTTTGATATAAAGTATTTCTTGTTCCCGAATACAAATATATTTTTAAGTATTTGTTCGGAATAAGTATTCGTAAAAAACACATTATTTGTGCCTTTCCGAATACCGTATTCGGATTCGGCTCCACCCCTAGTACATATCATACTTTTAAATCATTCATTTTTACATATAAATCATTTGTGGTCTATATAAAGCGTAACTGCAATGATTGGGTCTGAATTCCTCATTATTACAGCTCCACAGGCCCCTTTTCTACCTCTTTTCTGATGTGCGTCTGTGAGCAACCCGTTTTGAAGCGGCCCCTTTAAATAAAAAGGAGATGTGTAATGCCCCGTCTGCTCTCTAGGTCGCTGAGTTCACGGTCAGTTCAACTCCCTCCTTTCGGCCATTATCAGGGTGGCCGCGGGTCATTAAAAAGTATTAAAAAGCCTTAAATCAATTTTCCTAAAAATAAGGCCTTAAAAAGTATTAATTTGTCTTAAATTCAGATTGGATAGGTCTTAAATATGTTTGTCATGTCACCGCAAAGATGCAGACAAAGGCAATCGTTCTGCCAGCCAGATGGAATATTTTCTACAAGCTAACGTAACCTGTGTGTGTGTTTTAGAGACACGCGGGTGCGATCTCTATATTTGCGTAGGCCTATACTCGCATTAAAACACAGTTTTAAAAGCAAAACATATTTATCCAACCCCTGTCTGTGTGTTGTTACGTCTGTCAGAGTTTGAGGTCTGCCCAGATGAAGAATAGGAAAGACAGTACAAACGAACTTGTAGTTCCACGAGTCCTTTTATAGTTGCTTTCTTTCAGTTAAGCACACTCTTCACATACATGTCGAAAGAGCGGATGTTAACAGGTTAAAGAAAACACTCTGTAAAACGCTACAAATCAAAGTGGAAGTAAACGCATTATAATATAAAACAAACCCGCGATAGAGCGGTCATCTTCCTCTTTGCGCGAGCATTCTCACTCTCACTGAGCGTGCGCGCTCACATAACATCACGCGTCTTAAAGGCATATCAACATGTCATGAACACTACTGAACACTTGGTGGCCGTTACAGAGACTGAGTTCCATCTTTTGGACATTCATCATATCGCATTGGTTTTCATTTCTTGTCCTCAAAACAGGGCACTAATCTGTTTATTTTTAAGTCTTTGTAGTATTATTTTATACGGAAATAAATTATTTATAATTCTTATGATGAGAATAAAGTTAGGATTAATTAAAAAAAATCAATTGGGAAAATAAATATATTGATCTGAAATATAGCAAATTAATTTTTTAATTTATTAATTAAAAGGTAAAATAACCAAACATGTCTCAGTCTTTTTTTAATCTTTTCATTTGTTTAATTAACAAACAAATGATATGAAACTATTATCAGTACACTATAAATAAACTGGTTATATGCCTTTATTAGTAAATTAAATCTAAGCCTTTATTAATATACTTTATTATTTATAACATACAAGACTTAAGACGTTTATAAAAATGCCTTCTGTATTTCTTTTCACTCCACAGGCGACCGCACGTACGCAATTGACAATTGGTTATTGTCATTTCACCAATTTTTTTAACAGACAGTGTGTTTACTTAGAAATATTACTGTATATTTTCAGTTTTAATTTATATTTCCATCGTAAGTTTGGTCTTAAATTTAATTTAGAAGTGGTATTAAAAAGTCTTAAAAGTCTTAAATTTAAATTGTTTATACCTGTAGCCACCCTGATTATTGTGGTTTGATTAGAGATATACGATTATATCCCATAGCTTCAAAGACGACGACGAATCTGCAGAACAATGTCTTCAGTGGTATGCAAGTTAAATGTTATGTGTTATTATTAGTGAAGGTCAACTATTTCTCTTGTTAAAAAAAGCACACACACAGCACAATGACTATGGTCTAATCTTACCACTAAACATCTGTATTGATAATAATATGATAACTTAAGTTTAGAAAAGCATCAGAAACCACAGCAGCTAAATGATAGAAGGAATTGACCCCTCATTCAGACGAAGTCGATCGGCAAACCCTTCTTTATACTGGCGGAGGTTGTTAAAGTTGGAATCCTTGAAGTTCTTCGGGTCACTACATCCAACAACCGAACATTTTGACTTGCCCTCTTTTAACTTCTGCATCATTAAGCTTGGACTACAAAATGGGAGCGAGAAATAATAATGACGAATTGAAGTGTTGGGCTAGTATATGTCCTTATTTGTCAGTTCCGCTTCAAATACTGTTAGTGATGTAATTTTTCAAAAAACGTAATAGAGAACAGAAAAATCTGAACAGGTTGAAAAAAAATATGACCAAAACAGAATATAAAGATATAAACAAAGCACCTGAAGAGAATAATTTAATCTTTTCTGTACTTATAAACACTCCAAATATACAACAAAATGCATTTTAGGGCTAAAAAAGTGGATTTTGCATGATATGTCCCCTTTAAACCTTAAAGAAAGACATTAAGTTCATTAAGATCTGGTTTACAGAAGCCTGTGACTGCCAATAATAGTTTTTCACAGATATTCATTTTAACACTGCAATTAACATTGAATATCCAAAAGCAGCAACCGGCTCCAATCTGTATGGTCAGTATGAGATGTTTATGATTAAGTTTGTGTAACTCATCGTTGCTTGTAAATTCTAGAATTCTATCTATACAAAAGAAGAAGAGAGAACAACAAAATACCCTGATGATTTCTCCCTGCTGATTGGATTAAAGCTGCCTTTCTCCATGATGAATCACCACTTAAGTGAAATATTTTAATTAGCAGTAGCCATAAATAAATTCTGCATTACATGGCAAAAACGTGGAAGGAAATTAAGTGATGTTTTTTAATCTGTTGGACTTTGGAATCCAGCCATTAATATATCAACAGGGCATGTGCTATGGAGAGAAAATATATCAATCACTCCGGGCTGTCTGTGGCTCATGGCCAAATCTGTTAAGGCGACGGTCAAACTGCTTCTGATGAAAGCCGCTGCTTAATATCCAATTCCAAATTAATCATGAAACATTCAATATATATATATATATATATATATATATATGTAACATTATAGTATATATATATGTGTATATATATATATATATATATATATATATATATATATATATGCCATACTTTCTCTGTTGTGCTAATTTCTGTGTTCTCATTGTAAAATCCATTTTGGATAAAATAATGGGAAAATTAATGCTATTTTGTTTTCTATTTTGAAAGTGCTGTACACAACTATTCAGAGCTGAGAAATTAAAGCTAGCAAACAGGGAAAAATATTAATTTCAATGAGGAGACCATGAAAAATCAGGCACTGGTAAAATAGCTACTGTAATATAATGAAGTGCTTACAATTTCTATTTTGCTTGCAAAAATCATTATTTTGACAATGCATGGCTTTTTGCAACCTGAAAGTGTACTTATTGCAACTCGTGTTTATCAGTCACAGAGATTTGATCAATATCTGTGATCATGAGAAATGATTGTATGTGGTATTCCAAATAAGAAGAAAAAAAAACACACAGCATTTTCTAAGACTGAAATTAATGAAAAGGAGCACATGATTTATGGCTGTCCCATCTTTTTGCTGTTGTTGTTTTTTAGAGGACAAGAGTCCATGTCATCTGGAGGATGAGCCGGGGCCATGCAGAGGACTGGTGCCTCGCTTTTTTTTCGATTTCAAGAGCCAAGAATGCAAACGATTCTTTTATGGTGGCTGCTATGGGAATGCCAACAACTTTAAGACCATAAAAGAATGCCATGAGAGATGTCAACGTATGTACCAGCAATGAAACATTTCTCTTCTCTGCAATTTTCAATAATATCATACTGCTTTTGTACAAGCCCTGTAATTAAAGTCATGTGCTTGACAAAGGTTACAGCCCTTTGGTATTCTATCCTTCATTTTATAGAACAGTTTGCACTTTTAATTTAGACTCAAATCCAGCTTGTTGCATTCTATTTTTAGCAACAATTAAACAGTCAAATGCACTGTAGAAAATTATATCTTTAGGAATTAAATTGTCCTTGTATAAAAACTTGTATACAGTATATTCGACCAGACAGCAAACAAAGCTTGAGTGTCAGAACAGCACTGTATTTTATTTCACTTGTGAACAGAGCGTTTACACAGATGTCTTAAAGGGGCGGCAGCTTGCTTATTGTAAGAAAAGATGGGAAAACAATTAGCGAACAAAAAAACCTTTTCATAAAACTTTAAGGCGACCAAAGGGTGGACTCAATACATCTTTATTTGTTTACCACAATTGGATTTTTGTTTAGATAACTGTTCCACACACCATACATGTAAAGCCCCCAAAATGCACGAACATGCAATACAATATTAGACAATTCTCTTTATGATTGCTGAAGTGAGGCAAAATAATGCTTCACATAAAAAAAGCAAAGATGAATGACAATCAGGGCTCTATCTTACATTTCGGCGCAAATGACTTTATACACTAATGCATGTCTCATTCCTATTTTGCACCCGCGCAAAGCGGGCTTTTTCCATCCACAGACGCATGTCGGTAAACTAGGAAATGATCTTGCGCTCCTTGGGAGGATCGGCGCAAAAAGGAGGCGTGTTTCGGCGCAAACATTTCCTGGTGATATTTTACAGTTCCAGAAAACAATTGCGCCACTGACCAGAAAAATCCTGGTCTTAAGTCAGTGGCATTGCGCGTTGTTCATAATGCTATTTTAAGTGCGCATGCTTGGCCATAATACGGGCGCGCATGCTTGGCCCGCTATGGGTGAACAATGCGCATTCATTTTGATTCTCTTATCAACACAGATGCAGCAGTTTTTATTTTTGCAAATCATATATTATAACAAGGAAAAATATTAACACATGAGGGAAATCATTGTTTTAAGGCTAATTATAGTACAGAAAGATCAGACCTGTTTGCCCAATAGTGGCGAGAAACATATAATATATAATGTATATATAATATAATGTATGTATATATATATAAATATATAATGTTTAACCGACGCTGATTTGGGTGGTTTCTCCAATCCCCATACAATGTTACTTCTCTGTCTTTCATGGCCCTGACAAGAACGTTGGTTTCCTCAGCTGTGAACGCTCCTGGCGCGCGCCTGGTTAACCTGCCGTTATAATAACAATCCGTCATGCAAAATGCGCACCTGCTCCTAAAGGGTATGTTGGATGTCGCTCTGATTGGTTTATTTCACGTTACGCCCAAACCACACCTATGAATAATGAGGCTACTTCAGATCAACCCCTTTTAAACTTGCGCCTGGCGCAAGAGTCATTTATCCTGCTGGTAAAATAGCTCCCAAGACCCGCCCACAAAGTTACTTGATACTTGCGTTTCTCTCTCCTCCCCCATCATGAGTGTATACGCCCCCTACTGCTGATTGTCTACAAGTGTGTTGTAATGCTTGGTCTGATCCACTTTCAACAGCGCTTCAGAAAATATTGCTTACCGCACCTTTAATCTCTAGGTGTCCTAAATGTCTTAAAAGGGCCACGAAAATGAAACAGACTAATATATTACTACAAAAACACTTCACTTCGCATTCAGTCAATATAATAGTGCAAATAGTGCAAAAGTCCGTTCAATTATGTTCAATTATGCATACAGTCAATATAATAATAGTGCAAAAGTCAGTTTTCAGGACAAACAAGACAGCAACAGCAACGCAAGTGCGCAAGTGGAGTAGTGCAAGTCCAGGATATGTAACCGGGGGGAGATGGGGGAGAGAGTTCAGCCTCCTAACAGCCTGGTGTATGAAGCTGTTTGTGATTCTGGTGGTGCGGGCGTGCAGGCTTCTGTACCTCTTCCCAGTGGGCAGTTGTTCAAACAAATTGTGAGCGGGGTGACTTGCATCACTCACGATTGTGATGGCCCTGCGTGTGAGGTGGGAGGTGTGAATATCCTTCAGGGAGGGAAGTGAGGCACCAATAATCCTTCCAGCTGTGTTCACTATGCGCTGCAGGGCTTTTCTGTTGTAGTCAGTGCAGCTTCCGCCCCACACAACAATACAGCTGGAGAGGATGTTCTCAATGGTGCCTCGGTAGAATGTGGTCATGATGGCTGGTGGAGCACTTACCCGCCTGAGTTTCCGCAGGAAGTACAGGTGGCGTTGAGCCCTCTTTACCAGTGATGCAGTGTTGGTGGTCCAGGAGAGGTCTTCACTGATGTGCACCCCCAGGAATTTGGTGCTGCTCACTCTCTCCACCACAGCACTGTTGATGGTCAGTGGCAGGTGTTGGGTGTGGCCTCTCTGGAAGTCAACAATAATCTCCTTAGTTTTGCTGACATTCAGCAGGAGGTTGTTGTCCCTGCACCATGTGGTCAGAAGGTCAACCTCCAACCTGTATTTGGTCTCGTCGCCCTTGGTGATGAGTCCCACTAGAGTAGTGTCATCAGCAAATTTCACTATATGGTTGTTGCTGTAAGTTGCAGTTCAGTCATGCGTCAGCAGGGTGAAGAGCAGCGGGCTGAGCACGCAGCCTTGAGGGGCCCCCGTGCTCAGTGTGAGGCTGCTTGAAATGTTATTTCCAACACGTACTACTTGAGACCTCTGGCAGAGGAAGTCTAGTAGCCAGCTGCAGAGGTAGGTACTGAGTCCCAGTTCGTCAAGTTTGCGGATTAGTTGTTGTGGTATTATTGTGTTGAATGCAGAACTGAAGTCTATATACAGTAATCTCACATATGAGTCTCTTTTTTCCAAGTCGGTGAGGGCTGGGTTGAGGGTAGAGCAGATTGATTGCATCCTCTGTGGACCGTTTGGCAAGGTATGCAAACTGGAAGGGGTCCAGGGTGGGGGGAAGAATGGATTTTATTTGTGACATGACAAGCCGCTCAAAGCACTTCATGATGATGGGTGTCAGTGCCACGGGGCGGTAGTCATTGAAGCAGGATGGAGCAGTTTTCTTCGGCACAGGTATGATGGTGGCAGCTTTGAAACATGATGGGACGATGGCTTGCTTCAGGGAAGTGTTAAAGATGTCTGTGAAGACATCCTTCAACTCCTCAGCGAAGTCCTTCAGCGCACGACCCGGGATGTTATCTGGGCCTGCTGCCTTTCGAATGTTGATAGCAGCAAGTGTCCTCTTCACGCTATCGGCAGAGAGGCACAGAGGCTGCTCATGTGGAGGAGGAGGGGTCTTCTGTGGGCAGGTGCTATTTTGTGCTTCAAAGCAAGCAAAAAAGTGGTTCAAATTATTGAGCAAAGGGATGTTGCTCTCACAGCTCTGTAGCGCGGGTTTGTAGTCCGTGATGGCCTGAATGCCCTGCCATAGGCTTTGTGAGTTCCTGCTGTCTTTGAAGTGGGTGGTTATCTTGTGAGTGTATTTTTTTTTTTGCTTCTTTGATGCCACGGGACAGGTTGGCTCTCGCTGTTCTCATGCCAGCTACATCCCCAGCTCTGTAGGCTTTGTCTCTGGCCCTCAGCAGCCTGAGGACATCTCCTGTCAACCATGGCTTCCAGTTAGCCCGAGTGATGATGTCTTTTGTGTGGGTCACATCGTCAATGCACTTGGTGATGTAAGAGGTTACAGTATCTGTATACTCCTCTATGTCTGTCTGGTTATTGTAAGTAGCTGCCTGCTTAAACATTTCCCAGTCTGTTGTGTCAAAGCAGTCTTGAAGAACATCAGAGGCTCCCTCAGGCCACACTTTTACCTGCTTGCGAACCGGTTTGTTTGCTTTCACTCTTTGTCTGTATGCGGGCATTAGCATAACAGTATTATGGTCAGAAAGTCCAATGTGGGGGAGGGGGATGGCTTTGTATGCTCCTTTGTGTGTAGTGTAAACCAGGTCCAGGATGCTGTCTCCTCTCGTTGGAGAATCAACATGCTGGTGTAGCTTTGGAAGAACAGTTTTAAGATCTGCATGGTTAAAATCTCCAGCGAAGATGATGAAGCCGTTTGGGTGTGCCGTCTGTTGTTCACTGACAGCCTGGTACAGTTCCATAATAGCCGTGCTCCTATCGGTGTTATTGTTGGTGGGGGGGATGTATACTGCGACTAGCAAAATCGCGGTAATTTCCCTTGGCAGGTAAAAAGGACGGCATTTTATGATCATAAACTCCGCCAGTGGTGAGCAGTGTTTGCTTACTACTACAGTTTCCCGGCACCATTCATCACGGATGTAAAAACAGATTCCCCCTCCTCGTGATTTTCCTCCCTTTACAATGGCCCTGTCTGTTCGATAGCATGCTAGCTGCTCCAGTTGTACAGCAGAGTCAGGAATGTTATCATTTAGCCAAGTCTCAGTGAAGACGAGCACACAGCAGTTACTTACTGTCCGGTTCATTGATCTGAGCAGTCGTATATAATCCATTTTGTTGTCCAGTGATCGTACATTTGCCAGGAGAATGGATGGTATGGCTGGGCGAGTTGGATTAGCCGCTAGCCTGGCCCGGACGCCTCCGCGCTTGCCCCTCTTCTGCTCCCTCGCACACCGCTACCGACGCTTTCTTACCAGGGGAGGAGTAGCAGAGTCCAGACCGCTGCAAACCTTTCTTTTGCAGATATCCAATAGAAACTGCCTGCTGTATTTGTAGTGCGACGTAGTAAGACGAGACGAACACGTAAAACATTCGGACAAACATTTTTTAAACGAACAAAACACCTTTCTGTTGGGACAGAGCGAGGTCGCTGCGTGTGCACGCGCCGCCATCTTCGCGTGCACACGCAGCGACCTTTATTATACTGTTTATGCTTGCTGATCAACATATAAACATTGATCAGCAAGCATAAACATTATAATAAAAGCCTTAAAAGTAGGGCTGGGCGATATATCGAGTATGTACGATGTATCGTTATATTTTTTGAAACGATATGGAATGAGGCAATACCGTTTATATCGATACAGTAGTTTGATATGAGCACATCTGAAAAATAGCGGAGGTTGCAATGTGAGCTGCTGCAGTGAAAGTAGCTAGGCAACGTAGTACAATTTGTCCTAAACATGACACAAGCTTATATTAATTGTGTCAAAATCACTTTGATATAGTTAACAAGTTTAAGGCAAATGCTCTGACAGACACTGTTGCTGACTGACAGATATACAGTACTTGCGCTGTTTAATGCGTTTGAGATGTGGTGCTTTCCTCAGTGCTCAACTTACATTTCACAGGTATATTCTCCATCTGTAAATGTTAGAAAGTAAAGCAAATATGTCCATTTCACAACAAATATGTCCATGTCAGAAGAGGACGAGCTTCTGCAAGTGAATCTCCGCTAAAATTCATGCTTCCTTGAACGAGCGCCGGCGCGCGCATGCGCATGAATAGTACTACGTAGTACGCAATAATTCTGACTAAAATAAACATATTGCTAAAATATTTGTTGTTGGAGAAAATAAATGTGCCATATGTGGAATTTTAAACCTACAAGTATATATTTTTAATGAAAGTGAAAGTGATTATAATGGGGTAATCAAATGCAGGCTTATATAATTAGTTTTGCACATAATATATTGCATAGCCTATATTATATTTGTTTCCATATCCTTCAATATCAACATTGTTTGTAGGATATCATTGGGCCGAATGTGAATATATATATATATATATATATATATATATATATATATATTTTAAATATATATATATATATTTTAAATATATATTTTTAAATATAAAGATTTTCTTTATCTAAATAGAAAGCGTAGAAAGTACCGAGATATATATCGTATATCGCCATTTGACCAAAAAATATCGAGATATGATTTTTTTGGCCATATCGCCCAGCCCTACTTAAAAGTACAAACAGCCTATATTCAATCTGTTCATCATATAAAGTGATTGAGTCTCTTCAGAAAATTTGAACTGAACCGCTCAATTCATATGGATTCGGTTTACGATCTCTTTATAAACGTTTTGAAGCATCAACATGGTAGTTGCGTAGCTGTCAATGGAGAAACAGAAATCGCTCTGATTTTATTCAAAATATCTTCATTTGTGTTTCGAAGAGGAACGAAATTTACTTCTCTTTTTTTACTTCTCTACTTCTTACTAATTTACGTTTGGGTGAACTATCCCTAATGGTGCGTTTTTGTGCAACCTGAGAAAGACTCTGTAACAAAAGGACATCAAATGTGATGTTTTCACTTTGTTTCCTCCATTTAGCTGGCTCAAACCACATGGAACAAAATGTTCCATTAAAACCAGAGGTAGAAGAAGCAAAACCCAGGACAGAACCTCTCCCTAATGGTGAGATGAGACACAACCTGCTTGTTTATAATGTCAGAAAAACTTTTCATGTATACTGCATATTACAATAATCTGTTCTTAAAGGTGCACCAAGTTATTTTTAGTACCTTTTCGGCACAGATTCAGAATCACAAAAACGTTATTGTTTTGTAGAAATACCATTGATACATTTACATACATTTAGTCATTTCATAATTTAGCAGATACTTTTACCTAAAGCGACTTACAAATGAGAACAATAGAACCTTTTATATGAATCTTTTTTTGTGATTTACTTTGGATGCATCCCATGTGTCACTGCAAAAAGTCTCCCAACCAGCTGCTCAGGAAGCAGGTGAGATCACACACATGTACACACACACACACACACACACACACTATATTAGCTGTGGATGTGAAGGTAGAGGGTTCTAGACAGCTGTGTTTTCATGTCAGACAGTCTGTTTGAGTCCAGAGGGCAGCTTAGCCTCCTTCTGCTTATTTTGACAGTTAAGAGCTGTTCTCTGCTCCTCAGCTCCAGGGCTCATGACATCCCAGCCTGGCACAGAGATAGCACACACTGAGACACATAAAAATCACTGTCAAAAATGTAATATTTATTATCCTGATATTAATATAAAAAAAACCTGCATTTCAGTTTCTGTAATTGTAACATTTATATGGTTACAATGTGTTAATGGCTATTCATTCATACTACTCCACATTTGCCTCTTTAATCACAGCAATTAATGAAGTGAATTAAGATAAACCATTCTGTCAGTGGTCTGTTTTACTAATTTATTATTTGCAATTTACTTTTTGAGTTAAAAGTTATTGCTAATTAATTACAGTAATTGATTATGGGTTAAAAGATGACTCACCCTGCGTCACAATGTGCATACTACCTACAGTAAATAGTAGGCCTATGTGAGATTAGAATAAGTGTGTCCCAAAGCATAGTATTGAGGCAAGCAGGTGAGGTCGAGGGACATGAGAGAATGACACTAGACCGGTGCGTCTCACAGGTGTCGTCAGGGGCGGAGTGGGACCAAAAAATCTACCGGGAAATTTCGTAGACCACCGGCCCTCGTCGCCGGCACGATTTTAATAGCCGATAGCATTTACAGTTTTACTGATTAAAAAGGAACATTGTTGTACTAGTATGCTGGAGTAAAGGTCATAAATGGTCGTTCTTTCCCATAGTAATTTCTAAAACTATGTTGGGAGGACTCTGTGCCTCTAGGGGGGTTCGGGGGCATGCTCCCCCGCAAGAAAATTTTGGACATTTTAAGGTTATAATGCATCAATCTCGTGCTCTCTGAGAGATCGAAATTAAGAGCTTCAACCCATGAACTGCTCGTTGAACAAAGAAAAAACGTTAATTTGTACCAGGACAATGAAGAGGGCTCAAACATCTTTTTAGTTATGAGAGTCTCAGTCTGCATTACATTATCAATGGTGTTTTAGGATGCCAAACAATTATTATAATAATGTAATAATGATTTATAATTATTTCTATGACGTACTGTAAAATCCATTTATAGCCTATAAATGTAGGCCTACTATGTGAATGAAAATGAGTAGGCTATTTCAAGACTATATTTTAACCTACATTACACTATAATATAGGAAAATTAAAATACTTTTGGCCTAATTTCTTCACTTGCAAGAAATAAACCCTTCAGCTTTTATTTAGGAGAAAACACCAGCAGCCTGACCATGATGATCGCGTGAGCAAAGTAATCATGCAGCACAAACTGGATGCTATTCTAATGTCAGTTATTATAATGGCGCAACGCCATATATATTCATGGTTTCAATTTTAGTTCGTTAGCAAAATATAACGCTAGAAACCTTAATGTTAGGTTTTACATTTTACATCTTTACATATCTGTGTTGGGAAAAGGGAGAAGAGAGAGTTCGGCAAGGCGGATTCGAACTCGCGTTCAGCGCATCAAAAAGCTGCCTACAAGTACTTCACGCCCTACGACCCACGCCACTGAGGATGTTTCAAGACGGGTGTCGTTTTGCTGTAAAGACAGGCACTTGGTGCAAATATATGCTCCGTTATAGAAAATGTAAAAAAAAAAAATGTTTTCTTCCCTTAGCTTGGGCCATGGCGAACTTCCAATAAATACATTTTATCAGACCGGGCCGGCCCTCGTGGCCTCGAAACACTACGGGCCCACCGGGAAAACTCCCGACTCTCCCGATTGCCACTCCGCTACTGGGTGTCGTTCATCATTAATCACGCCACCGCCCTCGTGCCCTTCTCTCACGTCCCTCGACTGCTCGCCACAAGTATTTTGAAAAGAGTATGCCAGAAGTCCCCAGATGGTCTACTTTTCCAGTTGCTTTTTGAAGATTGGTTATGTGCACACTCTAAACTAAGGCTATCCCTGCACTTTGTAAGATGATTTGGATGACCCCGGATTACCTCTGTGAACTCATCCAGCCATATACAACCTCTAGGTCATTAAGATCCGGTGACCAGCTTCTTTTATCAGTCCCTCGCTCACGTTGCAAATCCAAAGGCGACCGAGCTTTCGCGGTTGCTGCACCTAAACTTTGGAACAGCTTACCCCTTGATATCAGGGCCTCTCCATCGCTCAACGTTTTTAAATCTAGCTTAAAGACTCACTTTTATACTCTCGCGTTTGAGTGACGCTGTGTATGGTACACTGTGCATATGTACGTAGAAATGTTCTTTTATTAGTTTATTACTATTAATAGTTTTCTCCATTCATTTTTATTACTGTTATTATTATTGTTATTATTGTTTTTCTTTTTTTTTCTCTTGACCGTCTGTAAAGCACTTTGGATCAACAAATGTTGTGTTTATGTTGTGCTCTATAAATAAATTGACTTGACTTGACTCAGAACTACAAACAAATAAAAAGTGTTAAAAAACTACAAACTTGGCATGTTGGATATGCGCCACCCACAGTTAAGTAGAGAGGTTCAGATAAAGGACTGACTAATATCAACATTTATCCTAATAAACATTTATTAACTGTTATCAGTGTTATATTTCATCTGCAACAACAATGTGAACTTTTATAATAAAGATCTGTTTGGCTTTCCTTGCCGCTAGCGGGACGCCTAAGTTTATAACAATTAAATCCTAATCTAATCGTGACAAATTATATATCGTTGGAAAGGTTCGTAAGACTCCTAAAGGTATCGTAAGACTCCTAAATAGATATGTTAGCACTTTTTTATGTTACAAATTTTGTTGTAACAGTAATAGATGAATTTATATATATATATATATATATATATATATATATATATATATATATATATATATATATATACTCTAAAATATAACATTATCTTTTACCGCCTTTTTATTACATTACATATTTTAGTAGTTATTATAAATTAGGTATCATTTAAAAACGTACAAACTCACAATTCATCCTGTGAAAAGCTTTTTGAAATTGGACATTGCGTTACCATTAAAAACAGTATTCTAAATTCTTTCATAGGGCTCCTTCTCTTTTTGGCATCATGTTTCATAATTTATGATCAAAATCTTTTCTAATCTTGACAAAACACATATTGTCAGAAAGGTCTGAGTCTCAAGATTCTATATTTTGAAATTTATTAATTTGTTACGGCAGAATGCAATTATATTCAATAGAATATATGTCACCCGGTGGCTATTTCTGGTGGCCTTGATTTTATAGTAATTTTATATTAGCCAATATTTTGTAAAATATATATTTTATGTCAAAGAAAAAAATATTAAGTACAGTATATTTGATTTACTGTAAATTTAAACTTCCATAACTTTTTCATACTTTCATTTTTTGAAGTGCTTTCACTTCAGCAATAATCAGTTAAGGGGTTAACTTTTAAATGAATCATAGTGCAAAAAATATGAGGAGAGTTCTCTGCATGAAAGACCCATGTCTTCAGCAGATCAACATGCTACTGCATTTCTCTCCAATATGGGATGAAATTAAATGAATGAAATGTGGAGAATGTGACAAAATTACTTTCTGTTAAAGACACAATTGTATGACGTGATAGTACAATATGTCCCAAAGCTGGTCTACTCTTCTGCTACACACTGAAAAGGGTGTTAACGTTTCTTCACAAAAAGAGTACAGGGTGTGGAATAAGTAGGATAAATGGGACGCAGCATTAGATGGCCATTGTGGCGCTATTGAAGGATGATGCTTAGATTTTTACTGCCATCTAGTGGATCATGTATACAAGTCAAATAAAGTTTAATGCCAGTCCAGCTAGAATAAAAATAGGAAGTAGTACACTTATGTTTTAAAATTTGTCATTATATAACTTTAAATTAGTCATTAAATAATAACTTAATGTATTAAAATAATACAAGATAACATTGATGTACTTGGTAACTTGATAACTTGGATCATAACAACAATAACAAATTATCATAGTGTCCCACTTTATACGTAGGTTTACATCATCTACGGTTGAACAAAACATAAAATATAAACAAAAAAATAAGATAAATAGAGATCAGATGTGAGGTTTACTTATAGTATGCACAGTAGTGTACATTGCAAATAATACAGTTACTGTAATTGGTCCTTAGCAGCAAAGGGGCATGGACATTTTAAGTATTGCTACTCTGTACAGTGACCTTAAGCTTGGGAAAGGTGCTTAAATAAACAAAGCATTATTATTATTAAAAGTGGATAGTTAATTGTTCAATTGACCTTATTCAGAGCAGCGCCATGACGGGTATGAAAGCGTTGCTGTTAGCGATAGACCTACCTTGTTTTCAATGGCAACCAGCCGTACGCGGTAAAATGCTGTATTAAGCCCCTAGATAATATAAAGTTTTTTGTCTACTGAAATTTCTTGAAAAAAATATTTTTGCAGTTTTTCATCAGCAGAACACTCCAAAGACACATTAAATAACAGTACAACCCACTGAAGAGAGGGATGTCTATCCCTCACAGCCTCGCTTTCTAGGGCTGGGTATCGACTTTGATGTTCAAATTGGATTCAATTTCGATTCGACAATAATGTATATAGATGTGATACAAATCCTATATTTATATAAAAGAACTGGACATAAGTTTACAAGTGGTTAATTAATACAAACAAATTAAGAGCCACAAACCTGTATATTAAAGTATTTTTATTTTAGGTACACTACACTAAATGCATACAATGAATAGACAGGATTTTGATGCAAGATGCAAAATTAATGCTGAAAATTGGACAAGTAAGAACAATTGTACGTCTTGATTAAAACAGGATCAGGTTATTTAGTTTGAGATAGATAGATAGATAGATAGATAGATAGATAGATAGATAGATAGATAGATAGATAGATAGATAGATAGATAGATAGATAGATAGATAGATGATAGATAGATAGATAGATAGATAGATAGATAGATAGATAGATAGATAGATAGATATCATTTAAAAAAAATGTATTACATTGATCTATACCTAAATGTTTTTTTGTTTTTTTTACAATGGGGTGATTGTTTGTTAAGAGCAACACATGGAAGCTTGTTTTCAATCTTTGAATTAAATTGAAAAAAAAAAATAGCACAAATAAATAAGCAATAGAATAAAGACATAAATATACAGTATATATATTTTTTTGGGTTGTCAGAAAGACTACAGGGACTGAATGTAGTAATCCAATATAAAATAACACTGGATAGTCTTTTAGTCCTGACTGAATTAAATGCATAGGTTATTAATTCTGATTCCTTACAATTAATGCCATATTAGACAACAAAATGAATAACAAATACATATGGCTGCGTTCACTTTAAGAACTAGTGCACGGATGCATTACCGTTTAATTATACTGTCTGTCGCAGACGTTTTATGCTTATTTAAGACATAACCGACTGTCTTTACAAGGTTACTGACCAAGACCAGAGTTGATATAATTTTGCATGTTTTTAACTTTTAAATCCATATAATCCACGAAAAAGAACTTGTGTTACTGGCGAGCTGTTTGTGAGGCGGATTTCGACTTTACTGTATGTGCACGCAGTGAAAAACATATCTTGAATTGCTTGAATGTTTAAATTGGTAAAACTTAAAAAGACATGAAAATGATAAACTTTAGTTACGATGCAATGCTGGCCCGATTGTGCAAGTGAATATTCCGTCATGTTTTGGAGGTATCCAAAAATAACTTTATTTAAAAATTATTATTATTCGTCAGAAACGAAACCCCCCTTAAACCATATCTAAATTTCAGCTTCCTCATCGCTTGTATACACAGTGATAAGAATTTTCACTTTGTTTCCTCCATTTAGCTGGCTCAAACCACATGGAACAAAATGCTCCATTAAAACCAGAGGTAGAAGAAGCAAAACCCAGGACAGAACCTCTCCCTAATGGTGAGATGAGACACAACCTGCTTGTTTATAATGTCAGAAAAACTTTTCATGTATACTGCATATTACAATAATCTGTTCTTAAAGGTGCACCAAGTTATTTTTAGTACCTTTTCGGCAAAGATTCAGAATCACAAAAACGTTATTGTTTTGTAGAAATACCATTGATACATTTACATACATTTAGTCATTTCATAATTTAGCAGATACTTTTACCTAAAGCGACTTACAAATGAGAACAATAGAACCTTTTATATGAATCTTTTTTTGTGATTTACTTTGGATGCATCCCATGTGTCACTGCAAAAAGTCTCCCAACCAGCTGCTCAGGAAGCAGGTGAGATCGTCAGAAACGAAACCCCCCTTAAACCATATCTAAATTTCAGCTTCCTCATCGCTTGTATACACAGTGATAAGAATAGTAACATTACTATCGGTTTTATACAAAATCAATTTGAGTACGAGTCCTCAACCTTTTGGAAGTACATTAAGTGTACATAAGAGAAGTGACAACATGAACCAAACTATTCCAGGCCTCTGCTACAACTACAGTGTTAAGGACGGGTCAAATTAGACATTGTTCACGGTCAATTAATGACCATTTGTTACAAACCTACGTAGGTTCGAGCAGGAAATAAGACTGGAAATTCTGACGACTCGTAATCGGTTCTTTCTTTTGGGAGACAACAACAACTTTTTTTTTGTTGTGCACTTTGATCTTTGAAACTTGAAACATCATTATTATGGGCTTTGTCTCCATGGAACATGCATGAAAGTGCATTTTAAACAGCTATTGATAATATATTGTTATTGCATTTCAGAGTTCAGTCCCCCAGAAATCTGCATGAGTCCAGTTGATCGGGGCGATTGTGACGGCTCTGAGAGGAGATACGTGTACAACCCCAGGACTGGGAGATGCCAGGCTTTTCGCTACAGTGGCTGTGGAGGCAACAAAAACAACTTTGTCCACAAGAGACACTGCATGAAGATGTGCACGAAAGGTGTGTTTACTGCAGACATTGTTTTTGTTTTTTGAGGGTTTAAAGGTACTGTAAGCGATTTTTGAAAAACGCTTTTGTAAACAGCTGACTGAGCACCAAAACACACTTTTTAGCCAATCAGCTGTAAGGGGCGTATACACTCTGATGTGTATCATGATGTGTATGAGAGAGAGAGAGAGAATGAGAGCAGAGATTAGCAGACTAAGGAAGATGCCAGAGAAAATACAACCAGAGGATTTTTTAGTGCCGATACTGATTTTTTTTTTTTCATCAGCCTTAGCCAATGTCCGATACAGGCTTCCGATTTTCATCAGCCGATATTTGGAGCTGATACTGCTTTTGCTCCCTCAATTTATATCATAAAAATGAAACAGTGATTATAACAAATGTTATAAAAAGGAACATTTATTGAACTTTTTATTGAAAAAAAAACAAAACAAAAAGAATAGTAAATAGTAGAACAAGTACCGTAGCTAACCAATATTTAACAAATATTAAAAATGTGTGAGGTAGAACAAGTAAAAAATAGTTCACTGCTGAAAATACAGAAAATATATGAAGAGTTTGGTTCCAAAACGCGATAAACGCCATTTAAAAAAAAAATGAGTTACTGCAAAAATCGGACTTTTCAATACCGACCAGATACAAAACAGTGTTTAATTTTACGTAAAATGGGATATCCGCCGTGTTATTATGTAATGTTTTCTCCCTTTCTTTCCAAACCGCGACAAACGCCAGTCTCCCTTTTCTGCAAAATGCCACATATCCGCTAAACCAATCACAACACACCATTCCATTCTTGCGCTCTTACATCACTGCGATGGAAACTCTGCCCAGCTCAGGGAGAGAGGGAGGGACACACACATCACACTGACTGGGGTGTGATCCATTTGGATAGGGGTGTGCTTGTTTTGCTAATTTCAAATATCAACAGCGTTTACCAGAAATCGCTTACTGCACCTTTACTATTTTAATTGAGAAGAACTGCATAGTTTAGTGTCAGTAAGGATGGTGATGCATGCTCAGAGAGACAGAGTGAAAACAAAAAACACAAAAAAAGTAAAGCAAGGTTTATGTGTATTGTTAATTCTCTATGTTTTCTCTTTCAGATCATGGTCGAAGAAAGCAAATACGGATAAAGACGAGGACCTCAAATATCTTATTCCGATCTGTCTAGGACATATATTTTCATTTTAACAAATGCTAAACCACTCTTTAATCCACATTGTGCAGCTTTGGTATTGTGGTGGAGAAAATCAGAGACAGCAGCATGTGATTCTATCTTGCTGACCCACACATTAATATCATGTATATAATTATTACAGTTAATGGATTTTAATCTTGGCTTCATATATGAAGACATTCTATGTATTGTAAGTGTAAAACATAATTTTGTTTTATGGGGAAGAAAGGACAAATTTACATACTAAATTACATATTAACATACATTATAAATGACTCTCTTTACTTCTACTATATTTAACACTGTATTTATGGCAGTTATAAATATTTGCCGAGGATTCTAAATCCTTTCTTCTTTTTTTTTTTTGTAAAATGTTCTCAATATTCAAACATACTTTACTAATTCTGTCTTTTTATTATGTGTATACACCGTAAACCCTCCAAAATGTTTTACTTTTGCTGCCCTTTTACTGCGTCCTTGAACTTATGCCATTGTTTGTATGTAATGACTTGAGGGAAATCTATTGAGATTAAATCTATTGAGAGTTGAGTCTAGCATTAAAAAAACATGACATTTTATGATAAAATATAGTAAATGTAACAGATCACCAGTAAGACCTATAGCTGCATATAGAGTGCTAGTGTTTCTTTTGTGAAAAGGATTGTCGAACTTAATAGATTTGTACTAAAAAAAATAAATTAAAAAAAAATGCTTAAGATACTACACAAGATGGAGCTGTTACTCTTGAGAAGACATTTTTGAATCCGCTACCAGTTGTTATTATTCCATAACCTGAACTTTTTTAAACATTTGGATTTGAATGATCTTTCATTATGTTTCTTAGAGTTGACTGGTGGAGTCTATTAAAATTTAAAGCATTTGATTCAATGTACTTGTTGTACATATTTTTTTCTGTGAAATTTAATAAGATGGAAAAATTGGACCAAAATTAAATGGGTCATCTTTTCTAGAGGGTCTAACTTTTTGCTTCAAAATAAGAATATAGATTAAGGTTAATCTTTATGTTATGGTCCTTGTTCCAGTGTAATTATGCATTTAGGTCCGAGTTAAATTAATTAACAACATGTAGCTACTTTAGAGTAAAGTTTAGGAATTGGGTTTGCTTTATAGTTAGTTGCACGTAATTATGATTAATTTACTGTTATTACAATATTAAGTGTAACAAGGAGGACACTCAAATGTGTTACCTAAATTACTTTGCCCTCAAATATCCCATTATCAAATAGACATACAACTTTAAATTTCAACATAAAATGTAATGAACAATAAGAAAGAAAAAAAAAGGAAAAAAAAAAAAACAATTTACACTAAGAAAAAATGTATCAGCAAATAATAAAACTAAAAATATTTTTAGTTTTAGAAGCTAGAATTGTTTGGATATACTAATAATATATATTACGATCTTGTGATTTAAAATTGCATAAAGCAAACAGTGTATGGAACGCTCAATGTGACATCGAGGCGGGGATAACCAGTGATGATGTAACAGGAAGCCACTACACTGAATATCTTCCAGCCTGACAGCCGTCGTCATTCACACTCTGCGCGTCTCTTGCGCTCTTTCATCTCGCGCTCTGACATTGCACATCGTAGATGTCACCGTGACGTCGCAAAGGAAAGTAATGACTGTTTATGGTTTTAAATAACAAGAAGGCACGCTCGTTTTTATCTGAAACTCTCCTGATCACCTTGGATTTAATATACAGGTAAGAAAATACTTGATAAGGGCGAGCGACTGGTGAATTATATATGGGCAGGGAATTAATTTAGTGCTGCCGGAGCCTCTCCAGTCAAGCAGGCTGTCATGTTATAACAATTGCTGACGGACTCCCTTCTTATAAATTAGTAAGAGCTTCAAACTGAGAAATAAATAGCGGGTTTGTCTATTGGACTGATATATCATTCAGATATTGGCTCTTGTGTTCCAGTAATTTTAGTTAAAGAGATGCAGATGCAATGTGAGGGCACTTGTATGTGTATGTGTATGACCGAAACTGGACTGCACCAACAAATGTATCATAATTTTAATTTATTTTGTATTTATAAGGTAGGACTATAATATAATGAAGAATGACTGTACCCGATAGTGCTTGTCAATACCAGCATGCCAAGCATTAGTTGTTCCATTTAATTAACTGCCAGATTTCTATAAGCAAATCCAAGACTTATCCAACATTGTCGACAAAAAGTGAGAAATATCATTACTATTACACAATAATGAAGATCTAAATACCAAAAACAGCTTGAAGTTGGATTTTGAGTATAGTCATAAGTGTCAGGGGGGAAAAGTATAGGCGCGTCACATAAAACGCTATATGACAAAACGGCGCTATACTACGCACATGGCACCCTTTATCGTTAATATTCACGTGAACCCAAGGCGTCATAAATCCTTTACACTTTGTATAATTATTTTATATATATATAAATACACACACATTGTATATATTTAATAAATATTTTCATGTATATACTGTATAGATTTATATATAATTTATATTATTATGTATTATATATTATGCACAAACTTTTATTTTGGATGCGATTAATCGCGATTAATATTATTAATTCCATATTATTAGGAATATTATTAACCTAGCTAGCTTATTTTGATATTATAGGCTACACACACACCAATTTTGTAAACAAAAACTTTTATGTTATATGTTGTGATTAATTGATTTGGCAGCATATATATATATATATATATATATATATGTGTGTGTGTGTGTGTGTGTGTGTGTGTGAACATTAATTAACTATATAACATTAATGCGATATGAAATCAGTTTGCTGTGCATTCTAAACAGACCTATTTATTTTCCATGCAATCTTAAGTTAGAACCGTAGCTCTTATTGTTGTATTTTATCATTATTCCAAAACCTTAAAACCTACCCATCAGTGCCAGGAACTGAAAAGATAAAATACCAGTATCATGAAGTAACTGGAAATACCAAGGTCTGTTGACACCTAACCACACTACTGACAGAACATTTTTGATAATTAATAGCCAACAGATGGCCTTGGTATTTGTGTTTTTTTGGCTACATTACATATAGCTACTTTTTTTGTGATGAAATACTGTGGAGCTGATGGGGCATAGAATGCTAAAATGATCTCTTCAGATTTAGCTCATCTGAAGCAATGACACCATTGAGAGTCTCCGTTTGACATGCAGTATCTTCCTAAGATATGTCATGTAAAATTCTGTCTTATCCCAGTTGCTTAGCTCTTTAATCTCAAAAAATGGTGAATGCAAGCATCAGTTAGTACTGCTCATACTTTTTCTTAGGGATTTGAACAAACGTCTTATGGTCAAAATGAAACCTTTGAGTGTAACTAATCCTGCACAGTTTGTGCTACTGCTAATACCACCATGCAGCTTTCATAGATCAACCAGAATACACAGCAGTCCCCTAGCAATGCCATAGTAACCACTCTGAATACTCTAGCAACTGCACAGAAGCATTACATGGTAAAACCACTCAGAACACTTTAACAATGGCATAGCAAAGCTCTTGCAATCACATTCAAGCATTATGGCGGCGAGTTTTACATGGACAAGCATTCTCTAATATCGCTTATTTTTGAAATCAGACCTTATTCATAGTGCTGATGAACAATTTGTTCATTCGCATTCAGCTGCATAGGTTGCAAAATTAAAAGGTTAGTGACTGTTCGTCTCTGGGGATACTATAGCTGGGAAAGGGATGAAAGTGGATTTGCAACTTAGATCACTAAAAAGCCAATTAATCCCCACACAGAATACCTTAAAGAGCATAGATTATGCTTTTAAAGGTAATCAATTATTTAGCCTCGCTGTTTGAGAGCCTTTTATGTGCTTCTCAATGCAGAGCCAAAGCATGCATGTGTTTGTCAGGGTTGAGTGCTGCTTTCGAGGAGGATTTAATGTCAGTGGAACAAAGATGTGTTTCTGCCCTGCGCGACATTGCATTCAGTTACTTTGCCATTACCATGGTTCACCCCTTAACGGAAACATGGAGAGCAGACAATTTTTTTAGTGCAAATAGCTATCACAATCCTTTGCTATTAGTGAAAAAGTGTGCTCGTCTCATCTTGAGCAATCGACTTTACAGTCCCACTGGTTGGATTAATAGAATTTTTGCACACTGGTCACATACTGTGATTCGATGCATGTGAGCTCAAAACAACCCTGAGCATTTTGCAAAGTAAATATTTTCTCCATCTCCACCTCGAGACAGGCCATGATGTTTTTTTTTTTTTATTAGCAGTGGTGTCAGAGTTCATGATTAGATGCTTTGTATTAATGCAACAACAAAAAAGATTTATTACAGTCAGGGATTCAGTGTCTTGTTTCAGGCATTAAACTGGACTCAGGCTAATAGGATCATTTCATTTCCTCTCTATGGATTCATTTGATTTCATGTGTGTTGAAGTATGAAAAGCCTTTTATTGCAACCCGCTCTCTAACTGTTAATTCCATCATCAAACATCAAAGCATCTGTCATGAATAAACATAAACAATATTTATATTTAATATTTATATATAAACAATATGAATGTAAGCCAGAGGAGAACTGGCCCCCGACTGAGCCTGGGTTCTCCCAAGGTTTTTTCTCCATCCAATCTGATGGAGTTTGGTTCCTTGCCACTGTCGCCTTACTTTTGGCTTGCTTTTGGCTTGCTCAGTTGGGGTTATTTAGTGTTTAGCAATATTATTGATCTGTGTTGTACTACTTTCATGTTATCACTGTGAAGCTGCTTTGATACAATCTGTATTGTGAAAAGCGCTATATAAACAAATGTGATTTGACTTGACTTGACATGAATGAATTCACTGGAGGCAAGCTGGTTGAGAACCCTAATGCAACTTTACTTCAAAACATAATCAAACAAAGGCACGAACAAGAACAACGAATAATACGAAGAAACATTCAAGACACAGGGCAAACATGAGGGCTTAAATTCACAGATTATTTAAAAGACAAGTCTGTGAACAACGATTAGACGGTTAACCAAAGACAAGACACATGGCAGGATCACAAGACAGACAAGAACAAGGAACAAGACTCTCAAAAACCAACCCAACGTGACAGCATCAAAGTTAGTGATGTTTATTTCTAAGATATATTTCATAAGGTTATACCTAGAGCAGTTATTCTATACAATTATCTCTTAGTTTGACCGATCAAACGAAAAGTACTGTATCTCATGCTCACCAAACTGATTTATTTGATCAAAAATACAGTAATATTGGAAAATATGATTGAAATTTTAAATAACTGTTTCAAAAGTTTGGGGTAAGAAAGATTTAATAATAATAATATATTTTTATATAGTGGGTTTTGTGTGTTTTCATTATTAGTGGTTCCCCGTCTATTATTTATCCCGAGTGTTTCTTATTTCTCACGCCCCCTTGTTATCTTGTCTAGCTCGTTTGTCCTTGATTACTTAAGCCCTGTGTTTCTGCCCTGTCTTTGTTGGTTGTTGAATTTATGTATGTTACATTGGTGCTTTTAGATTCTGAGTCTTGTTCTAGTCTATACTCTGTTCCGGAGTTTGATTAATAAAGCTACACTGCGTCAGCCTCAGCACTATTTCTCCGCACAACGTCACAGATACATTAACTTGTTCAAAAGTGACAGTAAAGGCATTTATAAATGTTACTATTCCAGTTTCAATTATTTCTATTCCAACTAAATCATTGAACTTTCTTTTCATCAAATAATGTGGAAAGAAAATGCATCACAGTTTCCACAAAAATATTAAATGGCAAAAACATTAATATTGATGGTAATTAATAATAATATAATATTAATAATACCTAAACACCAATATCAAGTGATCACAATATTACTGTTTTTACATTCTTTTTTTTAAATAC